GTTAACTTATTTTCACTTTCAAACATAATGGAATTTGAGAGGGGTGCCCAAACTTTTACACACTACTGTAATATGGCAAGTGATTCCAAACTTTTTCCAAACTAAACTTATAAAGTTATACATTTGAAGTGCAGTGTAACTATGTATAGCAAAACAAAACAATAATAACTAAGACTTCTCAGGGTTAAAATCTCATAAGGACACAACTGGACATCTCAAAAGCGACACTCAAGGAGCTTTGCTCTCTGGACGGTACATTAAAGCAGTGACTCAAACATTCCCATAACAACACCAAACAGGCCTCAGCGCAGACAGTCTATAAACTTTATAGGTGTCTAAACTAAGCGCTGACACTATTTGATGAAATAGGTGCACTTTTTGCATTTCCACCAAGTGGTAGTTGCTATAAATGCTGCAAGTTGCTATAAATAGTGCAAGCTTTGGTGTTAAAGTTTACAACAGACATAAAACTTGATCACCATCCAAAACTGCACTTCTCTGCGGCATCAGCTGTCAGTGTCTACGATGCTTTGGGTTGAATTCCATCTGTTAGGATTACAAGTGTGAACTTGTTTCAAAGCTTACACAGATGAAGCGCTGGAAAGCACTGGGGAGGTGATAAGGATGACCGTATGTGGAGAGCATTCTGTAAGTGATGTTTTTTTTTTCTGGATAGTGACACGTTTCTGCTGATTTGGCTTTAAACTCCAGCACATTTAATTTTAAACGATTCTATGACTATGAGGTTAAAGTGCACATTATCAGCTTTGCATCTATCTTGAGATAACCACAGAGGAATCACAGCCATTTCTATTCATTTTCAAAGGACCATAAGTAATCAGACAACCGTCTGGTCCTTTCTTTGGTCAGCTGTATGTTGTTGCATCATTAGTCTTTGTACAAAAGTGCTACAAAAGGTCTAGAGTTGGCTCTGGAGTTTGTTGCTGCTGTCTCTCACTATGAGGGGCAACAACTGGCAATCAGTAAAGTAGGCCATTACGAGACTACAGATTAGAATACATTAATCAGAGATAGAGCCAAAAAAGTAGCTGTGTCTAAATCAACTGTTTGGCACATTGTTAAGAAGCCAGAAGACACCAGTGAGCTTAGCAGTAGCAGATCACTCAAGAACTCAAGGCAGTGGATGACTGACGAACAGGCCTCTTTCAAATCTGCTGAACGCTCTGAGAGCACTCTCCAGGATACAAGCATAAGCGTCAGAGACAATCAGAAAGAAAAGAAGACACCAACATAAGTTCAGGATGGAAACCACTGGTAAACCTCAAAAAACCTCAAGGCCAGGCTGCAGTCACAATAAATACCTTTAAAGTTCTGGGAAAAGCCTGTAAAGTTGAGACAGATGACAAAAAATGAGCACAGACCAAATCAATGGTGTGAAAGAATGGAGAAAAACACAAACTGCTCATAATTCAACGCAAAACACAGCCCGAATGGCTGCAGTGGAGCTAAACCAATGGTCTTTACCGATGACATTAACTGCTCAGACCCACCAAATACCTAAAAACTGGGGGTCAATCGATATAATTTTTGCTGGGCCGATACTGATAACAAATATTATTAGTAATCAGGGACACCGATAATAGGGGGCCGATATTGATACACCATAAATTGATGTTTGTAGTGTGAACGTTTACAAGAATGAAACACCATACATTATATGAATATATGATTTCAAAAAAAAGTAAACATTTTAAATTTATCTTTAAACAGACAAAAATAACTTAAATCAGTTGACATTTCATAGTCAATGATGTTTGAAAAATGGAGCTCCAAAAATGGACTTTTTAAATCTTTAAAAAATATACAAATATATTATATTTACACATTTTGTACCACAACACAGACATAGAATATAAAACAGATACATAGTACGAGTCACTGACGGTTGAAAGGGCACAAATCAGGGTGTATTAAAGTAAAAAGCAACAAACAACAATGAGGGTGTATGAATGTTAACGTGCTTATTTCATTTTGTTGTTCAACCAAAAAAGTATTTCATGCGAGAGCAAGCAGCATGTTGAATGTATCGGATGTATTCTGAGCTGCATGATTTGATGGGAACAGCCTGTTTAGCCTAAGCAGAGTGGTGCAATCTTCAGAATTAATGAGCTGCAGCTGTCTGCACTTTTAACAAGCAAAAATAAAAATAAAAATTAGCAGATACTGTGCGCAACTCATTTATTAAACTTCAAATGATACGTTATGATTTTACAAATAATTTACTGCTTACTGGAGGCTTGTCTACCCAGTTGGACGCTCACTGAAGCTCCGCTATAGGGACACATATTATGGACATGTTCAAACTACTACAGAAACAGCCTGGGTCCCCACACTGTGTCTGCTCCCGTGTCTGCTTCTAACAGGGCAGGATAATGCCCGCATGGGTCACGTTTGTTTGGTTACAGTGAAGGCAGGCACTGCTTCACCCCTGCGTCTCTCACAAACCACAAATAGCAAGTTAGATTGGATTTACTTGACATGTGGTCCAGATTTCTACCAATCAATAGTGCTGTGGGCGGGACAAAGAGACAGACTACAGGGGTGCTGGTTGGTTGTACTCGATGCATCATCCACATTCCAAGCAATCCAGCAATGCTTTGGGCAGGACATGGGCCAGACTACATAACTGTGGTTTTTATGATTGTGGTTGTGTCAGATAAATTGATATCAGCTCTGATTATCGGTCAGGCCTACTAAAATTCACGCTTCAGCTAGCATCGGGACAACGAGCCTAGCTTCTAAAGCGACAGTGGAGTTATTGTGGGCCACAAAAAAAGGACTATACTTGACTGAATGAGCTGATCACCCAACCTGAACACCACTGAGGTGCATTCCACTAGAAACCAAAAGACGCTGAAACAAGCAGCAACTGAAAATACCGATCATACATGGCGTAAAGAGAAAACACGTATCTGTCCAAATGTTTATGCACTGCACTGTACAGTGAATGATACATCTCAACAATCTTTAGCCTTTAGCTTTTAATGAAAACACATATATTAGTGTAGTAAGTTTAGTGGTGTATTTTAATGGAATGGATCAGGCATCCTGCATGGCCAGCTACAATAATGAAACAATATAACTGGCAGTTTCATCCTGAATGACATAAAAACAAGTGGAGGAAGATGAGCCTTCACTTCTAGTTAATATTTAGCAATGTAGGGTCTAATAAAAAAGGTATAGTTGAGAATTATTCAATAAATAAGATATATTCAAGGAGATATATTTCAAGGAAAGCGTAACATATCTCTCTAAGTGAACTTAAGGTCATCATGAAAAACTTAAGACATCCTGATATAATGATTGTACAATATAAATGTTACTGAATTGTTAATTCATTGAGATTTTTATGTCGAGCTGCAGAAGGTTGATCATATGGAAAATAAAGAAAAATATGGTTTAAGATAATTTGACACTCAAATATAACTTGTCTAAATTTTAATACAGTCTAAAAGTATATTTCAATAAGACTGTCATTAATATTAAAAAACATGGCATGCAGGTCTGCTGCTATTTAAAGAGCCGCTTGACATTTCAAGCAACTGCCATTTTTCCAACTTTCCATGGTTCAGAGTAAACATAAGAGCATTTTCCTGGCTTTATTAAGTAGAACTTCAGCACAGATGGTTTTTAATTAACAAAAAGACTATATTTTGGTGCATTATTAAATAAGTAAGTGTGGTATTAAATTACTAACTTTGGTTCATGGTTATTTTTATCAGTACTCTCTGCGGGTTTGTCAGCAACCCAGCAGAAAAAAAACAGATCCCAGATCATGAGAGTAACCACTTGATATGCAAGATGCAAGTTCAAATTAGTGAAGAAGACTATAGATCAATTTATGTATATTTATATACCACATTTCCATAAATAGTCAGTATTGTATTTCAAAGAGGCAGAAATGTGAAACCCTGAGTTTCCAGGATAAATCAATAAACATGTAAATAAGGTTTTTGCAGTATTTGTTCAAAATTTCTGCATAATTCCACCACTGTGCCTACACATATTGTATGAGCTTTAATAATAAGTTATATAATGTTGAAAATGGTAGGATAGAGACTATTTTGTCCCACAACACCCTGTATGTACCTCAATGTCAATAAATAGAAAAAACTTGTTTCTGGTCAAAATCATTTTAAAAATATTGTAAAACAATGTGTGCATTTATATGCACTTAATAATCCGATAACTGCAGAAAATCAGATTTTGTCAGTAATCCAATTCAATGCATTTATATGCACTTGGGTAATCAGATAATGTGAAACCCCAGGTCTACGTGAGTCAGGCAGTTATTAGATTTTCCGCTTTGCAACAGGCCAATAAACTCACAGAAGAAGACAACAATGCTGCTCGATTACCTCCGGCACCACGGTGTGTTTCGCACAAACGCAGACTGAGAAATCCGAAAGAAATCAGAGTAAGAGTTCACATGCACTGAGAAATCTGATTACTGAGCTAAAATCCAGCTCTCTTTATCGGATTTATTAACTAGATTTCTAGACCTTATTCTGATCTAAAAAATCAGAGTCTGCTGTTTACATGACTGATTGAATAATCAGATAACTGATAACAGAAATCCAATTATGATCAGACTACTGAGTGCATGTAAACGCACTCATTGTCTCAGATATCAGCAGCATATTCATAACCATTTCATGTCATGACTGTCCATGATGTAGCTTTTAGAGGCATTAAACGCTTCAGATCTCCTATCACCAACACTGGGAACAACTCTGACTTACTAAGTTTCTCTAAAACGTAGTATTTCACATTAAACCACTCTGTTTACGTCTTGACTGAATTATACAGAAAAAATGAAAAAAATGATGCAGTCCTCCCTTTAAATTCTTCGATTGGAATGTAGGTGAAACTGCATAACTTTCAAGATTTTTCCTGACTTATGGGAACTCCAAATATAAACCACTGGTGATGCAGTGCTCTGTTCTACATTCTGGCTGGTTGGGACATTTGTCACTCACCGGGAGGCTGGAGGGGCGGTCCTGTTGGATCAGGCCTATCTCATCATGGTTGGATTTCCCAGAATTCCCAGCGGGATGGCTCCTGTTCCCATAGTTCTCCTGGGCCTCCTGAGAGAGAGAGAATGAGAAAGAGTGTGAGCTACAAGCTTACATAATTCATGAGTGCAAAACAGCCTCTATTCCGGCAAGAAGCACAGCAAGGAAGGCTCATCAGTGACATTCAAGTTGACATGCACCACTTGGGTGGGTTTGGAATGGACAAAAAAAAGGAAGATTTTTGGATTCAGTTGTGCTGTCTGCTCCTCAGCCAAGGCCGAAAAACCTGTTCAAAACGGCCCCCAGCGTTTGAGCACACGGAACCACGGAAAAACATGGCAGTTTCTTGAAATATCAAGCAACTTTTTAAACAGCAGCAGACCTGCATGCCATGGTTTTTAATATGAACGATAGTCTTATTGACAATACTTACACTTAGACAAGTTATATTTAAGTGTCAAATTATTTTAAACTGTATTTTTTTGGTTTAACATGAATGTTAATGATCCATTGACCAAAAAAAGCAAGCACAGCAGAACTAAAGAGGGAGAAAATCAAATTCTGCAACAATTTGTACAACAAACGTAAGCGCAGTGGTTTCGGCTCTCAGGTTACAGCGGATAAAAACACTCCTTCGTCATAACAAGATGTGCCAGGGAACAGATGTTAAATAAATGTTGACATATTTGGCAAAGGCTGCTGACACACAAAGGCCGCATTTCTCTTAATATTTAACAGAGGGAAAATGACCTGTGCACAAAAACGTCACATTTGCAGCTTTAACACTGAATGATTGAATGTTGGTACTGGAGAGCAGGGAACAGTATTCTTCCCCGTCTACATGAGCGGCTCAGGCTGGCACGCTGCCCAGCGAGTATTCTATTACCTATTAGGAAGTCATTCATTTATACAGCGCTCCTTAAAAAAATACTCACCACTTCCTAAAATAAACAGTCTGTGAAGATGAAAAGCAGACAAGGCCATAAATTGCGGTTCAATAGGGGAAAAAAAATGCATTCTTTTCACACACACCGAGCACAGGTGTTCACGTTACGGACCAAACTGGACGAGGAAGAACTAGCGCCAGCTAAGGTCGACTGAGGATCGCCTTCCATAAAGACTACAGCTGATGACCGACATGCATATTCTAAGTGAAATAAGTACACAAAAGTACAGAGAACACACCTCTACACATTTTAATTACAGATTCTGTGCTCAATTTGGCCCGTGAACAAGTTATGGCACATTTTACATATTATGTTTTATTTTTCCCCCCAAAACGTACATATCATCGCTGTCCAAAGAAAAACAAATATCTCCAAAACAGTAACTTTACAGGAGAGAGCAAAAACACTCTTACCTTCCAGTATAAGTCAAAGTAAAGAGATTTAATTCCAAGTGATTTTAGAGCATTTCTATTGGTCCATTCATCATGATATTTACACACAATGTAAAGGACAGCTGGTGTGTTGAAATGTAGAAAAATAAAAATCAACAAAAACGGAGATACATGGTTTTTTTTGGACAGCGATGATATTTAAGTTTGTTCTCTCTAAAGGATGAGCCACACAAAACGTAGCTGGCAGTGGTCTGTAAAGCTTAAGACTGCAACTTATAAAGTAAAGAACACACCGTTTGAATATTTTGAAGAATTGAAGAATATATTGCTCTTACAACGTCCAAATGCCTGTGTTTAAGCTACCTAGAGTGTGAAAGTCAAAGTAAACCCACATTAGCTTTGGTGCTGAGTGGGTAAAAACACTGTTTAAAAGTGTATGTTTGTATATTCAACGGTCAAATAAAATGCATGGCTGGCACATGTTCACAACAAGTAAATGAAATGAATGAGCATTCCATGTTTTATGTTAGTGTAACATCAGAGCACCTACAGAGTTCCTGCGCATCCTTGCTTATTTGTAATATTAAATATTTTCTCATTGGGAATAATACATCTGTGCTACTTGCACTGGTGTTGAAAAATGAGACTATTCTTTGTGTGCGCCCTCTTGAGAGCCCTGTTTAATCGCTTTGCTCTTTTTCATTCTTCTTTTACTGATTCTCAGTTCTCTCAAACCGCTAACCACCGGCAAACCAGCTCTGATGAAGACCTAAAAATTAAATTAAAGCCGACAGCACAGGACACATCGCACAAACTACAGGTGACGGTCAGCCAATGTTCACCAAAAGCCTTTTGGCATCCGACAGTCAACGTGGTGTGACAGGACATTAAGAGGTCCGCTACCCAACCCAAGCCCGATAGGGCCCAACAAAATATCAGGTTTCAGGCCAGGTTCAGGCCAATTTTTACACACTACATTGGGCTCAGAATTGGGTTTATTTTCTAAAGAGAGATTTGTTTTATTTAATAGATTTGTTTTTATTTGATGCACTTTTCTCACATTTTCTCTCTTTTGCACACTGCTCTCTCTCTCTTCACATAGTTACAGTACAGTCCATAGCTGCATCCAGAATAACTCCAGAGTATGAGGAGTGGGTGAACATGTGCCTGAATGAAACTGTGGATGAAGTTCAACAATATGTCAGTGGCAGCCAGACAATGGATGATGAGAGGGATGTTTTTGAGCCGATGAAAAGGTCACAGAGGATATTTCCTCTTGCTTGTTAAGCCCAAAGTGTGCAAAGCTTTTCTGAAATGCTGCTCTCTGCTAGGTACAAACAACAATTTCACAAATATATATTATTAATAAATAAATGTCAGTATATTACAGACAGGGCAGAACTATCTACACTCTCAGAAATAAAGGTACGAAACTCTCACTGTTGTCACTGGGGTGGTACCCTCAAGGGTACATCTCAGTACCTTTATTTAGGGGACATAATTGTACTATAATCCATTGAAATTATATTTTTGAGGTTGCATTGACTCCACACACCCCGTCTCGTCTCCAGGCTTTTTATTTTATTGTTCTGTTTTAAAACATTAGGTTATGAAAAGATAGAAATATGTACTTTTTGACTGGGAAAAACTTGTTTATGGTACACAATTGGACCTTAAAACCACTGTTGTACCTCTGAGCGAACATTTACGTTGTTTGTACCTTAATGAACGAGAAATGCCTGCACAGAACCTTTATTTCTAACAGTGTAGAATGCCTTTTTCAAGCTTCAAATGGTATATTTTTAATCTATATCAGCCAGAGCACGTTCATGTGCTCAAGCATTAGCTTCACATAGAGGGGCTAGCAAAACATAGCATTATTATAGAGAAGTTGTAATATTTATGGCCTGGACTGAAGGCCTTACTTCAATCAAACTTACTATTTATTTAGTTTTTATGTATTTTGAGCTGTTTTTCAAAACAATCTGAGAAGCAAATGACATGCACAGAAGTTTACATCTATCAATGTATCAAAAATGAAATACTGGTATTGTCGTGATGCCAGTATAGGTGATGTGTTACCCAGCACTACACCAGAGTCATCAGTCATACGTATCATCACGCGTATCGTTTCTTACACAGATGATAAAAGTAATCTCTCCAGACATTTACTCTGGGAATTCTTCATTCGAATGTTTATGTGTAGTCATTCTAAAGAAAAAAATCAGCAGCATCAGACGGCAGGAATAGCTCAAAGATATTCCCTCCAGGCTATAATGAGTTGGATATGTTCTACCAGGGAAGCGATGCTGAGTTTTCAACCTTTCAGCTGAGAAATTGTAGAAATTCCTGCGTGTTAATTTGTGCTGGGGAATTGATTTGAGTTTTCAGCATGGCCAGCTGAGTGCAGAACACTTATCAGTTACGTGGAGCTGCGCTTGTCTGCCCGAGCGGTGGGCTGGAAAAGGTAAACATAGCCTGTAATGTCGAGAATTGAGAAATTACAGCCTGCGTCTGCTGGAAATGCATGCATATACTGGCTGAACTGAAAGTGAAAGTAGACGATTATGTCATCACTTCACATTGTAAACAGAAGACAGGAGGCTGACCTGGATCTGACCCACTTTTCTACCATTCACACACACACACACACACACACACACACACACATATGCCTGAATAAATATTTCACTACAGCATGCACAGCCTAGTGTTTTCAGTACAGAATATATGTGTGTGTCCAGGTGTGCATTTATGCATGTGAGCTACAGGTCTGTACAGGCCCAAACCCGAACTGTACCTATGATTTTTTCACTGAACAGTGCAGTATAGTACATGTTTTGTTGAGTATAGTCGTATGCAGACTGTTTTATAACTGAGAACCCCTGGACCTAAATTTATATAATACAATCACGGTCAATAATCGCAGTCACACTAGGCCAGAAAAACCGCAATTACATATTTTCTCTACACTGTCATAAATAAAGATACTAAACCATCACTGGGGCAGGACCCCTCTTGTCACTGGGGCGGGACTTTCAAGGTTGCATCTCAGTACCTTTAGTCAGGGAACATTATTGTACTATAATACACTGAAATTATATTTTCTAAGCTGTACTGACTCCACACACCCCGTCTCGTCTCCAGACTTTTATTTTATTGTTCTGTTTTAAAACATCAGATTATGAAAAGGTACAAATACGAACTTTTCACCTGAAAAACTTATTTAAGGTGCACAATTGGACCTTAAAACCGCTGTTGTACCTTTGAGGGAACATTTACACTGTTTGTACCTTGATGAATGAAAAATGTACCTGCATAGAACCTTTATTTCTAACAGTGAGCGGAGAAAAAAATCCTGATTGGACAATTTTTGATGAGCATTTCAATTCTTCACCCCCTTGTTTCTAACAATGAAATAAGAATATTAGTACAAAACTTTTAGAATTGAAAATAAAATAAAAAAATAAACTGATAAAATGAACTAAAAATGACAGACATGTACTTTTTAATACCCAGAAATGATTAGGCCTTCTCTGAAGGCCTAGGAGGGCTTAGCACTGCTCTCTGTCTGGTTAATGTTTACAGTACTGTGTAAGGTTCACTGTGTAACATGTAATTTTGAGAAAAGCAGAACAGAACACAACAGTCTAATCAACACAAAGTATATCAGATTTGTAAAACATTTTAGCATAAAGAATCAGAGCTCAGGAAGCCAAAATTAAGCAAAACT